AAAACTAACTTAAATTTTATCAATTATCCAATTAAATCATTTCAAATAGCATTGATGTCGAAAATAAAATTTATTTTCATAATTTTTAATATAAATTAATGATAAAAAAGTATAATAAATGTCAAAGGTTAGAAAGAGCTTTTTTTAATAGAAAATGGGTAGAGATGTTAATTCGAAAAGAACAAGGGCATATCTAAAAAAAATCCACTATTATATTCCCTCGTCAGCAACCACTGAGGGAAAGTTAAAGCAAAAGAGTCGCAGAAACGAGTAAACGTATTTAATTTTCACAACCCCCAAGCTAGGCAAACCATCCGATATTTTACTTTCTTCCTCTGGTTTCTCCACAGCAACCCTAAAATATTGGGAACACTTTCACCTCTTCCAAGTGAATGGAATTCCTCAAGAAAGAAACCCTGAAATCTCACTAGATCAGAGAACAACCCCAGATTCAACTCAGACCCACTTCACCAATGGCTGCATTCTCCTTCCCCAAATCCCTCCCGGCTCTAGTTTTCCTTGTTTTTCAGCTCGGAATGTTAGTTGCAGAGCAAGATGCTTCCTTTTCGTTCAAGAGTCTTGGTAAAGATCCGAGCTTTGAGTCAAATGTTGCTTTATATGGGGATGCAAAGGTTGTTCCTGGGGAGTCTCGGGTCCAACTCACTAATTCGGTGAGTTCAAGCACTGGGCGAGTCATGTACAAGAAACCCATCAAGTTTGTTGAAGGTACTCCTAGGAAATTTGCTTCTCTTTCAACATACTTTTCTTTTTCAATGTCGCATGAAAGTGGTGAAGGATTGGCTTTCTTTATGATTACTAGGGGTAGCGTCCCCAAGGCATTTGATAGTAGTTCCTTTGGACACTCTCTAGGAAAGGGGGAAAGAAATATTAGTGTTGTTGCTGTTGAATTTGATACCTTGAGAGATTCTAAGTATGGTGATTTGGATGAAAATCATGTGGGCATTGATATTAGTAGTCTTGAATCAGTTAAAGTGAGAAACTTGTCAGCTATCAATATGGTGTTGAATAATGGAGAAAAGTTGCATTCTTGGATTGATTATGAGGCAAGCTCAAGAAGGTTAGAAATTAGGCTGAGTCATTCCGGGGATAGGAAGCCAGCTGATCCCTTGCTTTCATACTCAATTGACTTGTCAGGAATGTGGTATGAGGAAGAAGTGTTTGTTGGGTTAAGCTCTTCAAATGGGAATTCTTCACAGACTTGTTCTATTTACTCCTGGAGCTTCAAGCTGAGGCATGTTCCGCAATGGATGCATTCTGAGCCAGTGGATCTCAAGGCTCTCACCAAGGACCCAAAACCTGTATTGGTTAGTCATAAGAAAAGTCATTGTCTCTTGAGAGTTCTTGGTGCTCTGATTTTTGGCACTGTGTTTGGAGCACTGGCAGCATCCTGTGTGATGTATTTGCGGAAAATCTTTGGAAATAAGCGTCCAGTGGCTCCAGAAGAGTGTGCTGTGCACCCTGTCGATTTTGAGTACAAGAAGTTCAAGGTAGTCGTAGGTAAAGCTGTCGAAGATGACGCGAAGTAGATCTTTTAAGGGTTTGATTTTGTGAGATGTTTTGATGTTGTAAATGTGAGTTTCTTGTACCTGCTTTTCTTAAGTTGTTGTAACTGATGATCAATTTGTGAAAGAAATGTAGCTTTCTGTTGCTTATTGTTTTTGAATTTGACAATGGGGAACATCGAGTTTTTAGGCAATCTATTCTTCAGATTTTTCAAAATTATTTGTAATTTGTTTGCTCCTAAAGATGTTACTCTCGATCAAATTCCATTTAGCCGAGGGTCTCATGTTTTCAGATTGGGAACAACAGAAAAGAAAACATTTTTCACATAACTAATATTCATATTGGCCTACAGCAACCCAGATAAATCCCTTCCCTTGCCAGAGACTGGCAACCGGGAATTGCATCATTGTTTTACATTCATGAACAATCACTCATCATGTTGGTACTCCTCTTCCTCCTCATAGTCCTCCTCCTCATCCGCCGTGGCATCCTGGTACTGCTGATACTCTGAAACCAGATCATTCATGTTGCTTTCAGCCTCAGTGAACTCCATCTCATCCATACCTTCGCCTGTGTACCAGTGCAAGAAAGCTTTCCTCCTGAACATGGCGGTGAACTGCTCGCTCACACGTCGGAACATTTCCTGGATTGAAGTCGAGTTTCCAATGAAGGTTGATGCCATTTTCAGGCCATTGGGAGGGATGTCACACACGGTTGATTTGACATTGTTGGGGATCCACTCAACAAAGTAGGAAGAGTTCTTGTTCTGGACATTGAGCATCTGTTCATCCACTTCCTTGGTGCTCATTTTGCCTCTGAACATGGCTGAGGCCGTGAGATAGCGTCCATGACGGGGATCTGCAGCGCACATCATGTTCTTGGCGTCCCACATTTGCTGGGTGAGCTCGGGGACGGTCAGGGCTCTGTACTGCTGCGACCCACGGGAGGTGAGAGGAGCAAAACCAACCATGAAGAAGTGAAGCCTAGGGAAGGGGATCAGATTCACGGCAAGTTTGCGGAGGTCAGAGTTCAGCTGACCCGGAAATCTCAAACAGCATGTGACTCCGGACATTGTAGCAGAAATCAAATGGTTCAAATCACCAACTGCAGCCATAGAAACACAGAAAATTAAAATCCTGATCTTCAAATAGATTAGGCAAAACCCAGAAAGAAAAGGGGGAAATGGAAGCGAAAAGGCTTACAGCTTGGAGTGGTGAGCTTGAGGGTGCGGAAGCAGATATCATAGAGAGCTTCATTGTCAAGAACCATACACTCATCTGCATTTTCAACAAGCTGATGAACAGATAAAGTAGCATTGTACGGCTCCACCACCGTGTCGGAGACCTTCGGGGAGGGGAAAACGGAGAACGTGAGCATCATCCGATCTGGGTACTCCTCCCTGATTTTGGAAATCAGAAGGGTTCCCATGCCAGACCCAGTTCCACCACCAAGCGAATGGCACACCTGAAACCCTGCAATCGAGATACCCATATAAACCCTAAAATTTTACCGGAAATCAAACAAAAATTAAAGCTAGAGAGATGAGGAAATCTTAGGTCATACCTTGCAAGCAATCACAATTCTCTGATTCTTTGCGGACAACATCAAGGACAGAGTCAATCAGCTCTGCACCCTCCGTGTAGTGGCCTTTAGCCCAGTTGTTTCCGGCACCAGATTGACCAAAAACAAAGTTATCCGGCCTAAAGATCTGACCATAAGGACCAGACCTGACACTATCCATGGTACCAGGCTCAAGATCCATGAGGACCGCCCTGGGAACGAACCTGCCGCAGCTGGCCTCGTTGTAGTACACGTTGATCCGTTCAAGCTGCAGGTCGGAGTCCCCATCGTACCTCCCGGTGGAGTCAATGCCGTGCTCGGCACAGACCACCTCCCAGAACTTGGCACCGATCTGGTTGCCACACTGGCCTCCCTGGATGTGAAGGATTTCACGCATTTTGAATCGGAGAAAATAGAAGAAGCAAGAGAATCAAACAATGGAAAATTAGGCGTTACAAAGAAGGGAAGTGTGGGGACGGAATTCTTTATAGAAGAATCAAGGGTAAACTAACGGCTAGATTTGTTGGGTCTGTTTGGAAAGGTGCAGCGGGATGTGTTGTTTCATTTTTTGAAATTGGTGGGGATGAGTTGTGTTATTCAAACGGGGCAGTCAAAGTAACGGCCCTAATTGGTTTGTTGCCGGCTCTTTTTTTAAATTTCAAATTTAGAGCTAACAGTTCTGTTATTTGGCATTTGGGAAAATGACAAATTTGTGAATTAAATTAGTCTTCGTCATCATAAGCAAGAACTCGATATTCGTTTCAAAATTTTAAAAATAAAATAAAAGAAAGAATTCGCAAACCAAAATCATTCTTTATGGTAGTTATTAAGTTCGAAATGAGTCTCGAGGTTAAAGAGAAGTAATAGCAAGCACAAAGTAAATTGCAAATCATTTCTTTGCTATAGTAATTGCCTTTTTTTTCAAAAGATAGGTCTTTGTTCCAAAAATGGAGAGATTTCATTGGGTAGTTCTTGCTAAAGCAAGTTTGAATGTTCTATGGAATGTACCAACAAGATGAAAGTTTGATATGCTAAAACCATCGTGACTTTATCATGTGCATAGGGTGCCGTTATACAGTTCCTTTATGGTCAATCCTTACTTGGCTAGTGTAAATTAGATGTCTTTGTCGACAATTGGGAAAGAGGATATCATATAACGTATACCATAAGTTCACATTCCAGGCTTGGGTTGCAGTACATGATAACACCAAGAATGAATGCGTCTTCTTGAGAGAATTGGGTTACAACTTTACTAGTATTAATGCAGAAAATAATGAATAACAAGTATACAACATCTCTTATTTAGTTGAGCATGTTTGCTGAAACTTGTAAGAACTTTTATTTTTTTTGTATTGTTTGTGAGTGATAAATTTAAATTTTAATTGGAGAAAAAATTTAAAAGTTAATTTTAAAAATAAAAACAAAGTGAGTAAAAAAAATTATAAAAAGTATAACTTTGAAAATTTTCAAAATTTATTGTTTAATATCTTTTTAAAGTTAAAAAGAAATTAAAAAATATAAATTTTTAAAAAGAAAAATTTAAACTTATGAAATATAAATAGTATCAAAAACTAAACTCTTATAAATTTCACCTAACATGCCCTAAAGCTCATCTAGGGCATGCGAATTCAGTATACAGTCAAAATAGATATCAGATTGCTAGAGGAAGTTGATTCATTCCAAATTATGCGTTGTATGTATGCTGCAAAAGAGAACATGGAAATGGATACAGGTGAAAGAAAAAGGTCACCAAAGTGCAATAGTTCTTAAGCAACAAAAAAATACCCATTTCAATATATGGGCACAAAAAAATATCCCTACTCTACACCTGCTTACAAAAACAACAAAATTTACAATCAGAAAAACAGAGTGAGGGAAAAATAAAACGAAACCAAGAAACCAAAATCACATGAGAACAATCAATGTAAAATAGAGAACAGAAGAAATGGATCTCAGAAAAGGTATGATTTATCTTCATCCCCTTGGAGGAAGTTCAGATAGATAACGCAGTTTCTAAGTAACATCATTGATCCACACAAACACATCCCATATACAATATGGTCACAAATAAAACAAAGAATCATGTTTGGTTGGAGAAAATTGCTTGCTCAAACCAAGTAATACTCATAAACTTTAGAATTCAACCAAAACAAGAACAAAAACAATAAGAAATGAAATTACTTCGGACATAAATAAATA